TAGAGTTGATCATCAATAATCGTGACTAGTGATATGCCGCTGCGTCAATTTTTTTTCACTACCCTAAACATTTTCCTCTTGCCAAATAGCAGAATTTTCGGCAACTGGTGCAATCTTATATTACTGGTACCAGCGACTTCCTTCCTGTCGAATTTGAAGAGCGCTGCCTTAGTTCGTTCGATGCCCAGAACGGGCAAATTTTTAAGGGCTTTTCTGGGAGGAAAAATACCCTATGTTATTCCTTATGTGGACAGTTACCTGGTAGTAAAATATTATCGAAATCGGTCTAGCCGTTTAGATGATTACCCAGAATAAACAGACAGACAAAAAAAACTGGTGCAAATAACCGTGTGAGCATGAAAAAAACCTATAATTTTGACATTACAAACAGACACTTCAATTTTATTTATTTGTATAGACAAGACTTATACAGAAGAATTTTGAGGTCTGGCTCAGTTTTGTAATGACGTAGTTAATGTATTATGATCGCGTGAAAAAGGTTATTCACATTTTAGACTTTTTTTAACATAAGGCTCAATATATCCTAAAATGTAACTTACAAACCGAAAGAAAAAAAAATGTTTAGTGTAAACATAACTTAAAAGATTATAAACACAGACTATTTATTTTATTGATCTTAGTGTTTTTTTTATTCAAATGGAGATAGAAGACAATGTCTTATTCTTCTACGGGTATTAGTATTAGGGAAACAAAAAACGAACGTTTTATAAGGTAAGCCTTGCGTGCTATTCAATTTTAGTAAATGTAAACTATTGTTTTGTTGCTTATACATGTACAATTCGTGCTAAAATAAATATCTAAAAAATATTAAAGTTGCACTGCAAGATAGCAAATGCTATATAAAATGTTTTGAGTATCTTTTCAATGCTGCATGGGTTTAATTACGTTGTTTTATATGCTACATCGTCAGTGTTTTAATTGCTTAATTGTCAATTTTATTGATGAGCTTTGACGCAAGTAATGTTGGAACTGTGTGTTTTATCGATTTTATTATTTGCAATATAAGATATCCGTTTGAAGTTAATTCTTATCTATAAAGACTTACTAATAATTACAAATTTTTAACACTTAACAACTGTTATTCTTTAAATTGTTTTGGTTAAATGTTCAGTATTTTTTTGCGCTTGATAAACATTTCAAATGAAATACTGATAATGATGGTGTGAATAATCGCAGTTTATCGTCATAGAATATAAGTGTTTTTTCTTACACTTTAATTTTTAATTTGGTCTTTAGATCCTAAACTTTACATTTTTGACTGGAGTTGCAAAATGGACAAATTGGCACACTATACGGCCTTTAATACATCTTGCATGGACCATAATTTTGTATACCGTAATTTTTTTTCTGTGCGGAAATCCCCACCGGTTCGAGTCCGACATAAACTGCGCCGTCTCGGGTACCAACAGCCAGGGAACCAGGTGTATCCTAGAACGGGAATCCCTGGTACCCCGACGTACCTTAGGCCATCTACGGTAGGTAGATGGCCTCTCCTGTGTAGGAACCCCCATGTTCCTGGTGTGCTCGTCTACCGTACTGGCAGCTGACATAGGCGCAATGTAAGCATGCGTCACAAATTGCATAACTCGCATAAACCCAAAGTTCGACTGGCTGTTCAAAAGTAACCAAACTTCAACACAGGATTACAGGAACCTATCATCGAGTAAATATTTACGAAATTAAATTATTGGGAAGCCGTATACCTCAGTTTTTACCTGCTGGATGGAAAGTTGTTTTCTAAGAGGTTGACGTCGGGATTTACATCGGCGCCGGCGCAATGTAAATGTACGAGTACAGACTACGTTCGCCGTGTCACGGTTATGACCCGGCGGCATTCGGAATACATTACGGCAGAAGACAATTGAGCTAGTGTGTTGTCGAACATTGACGTTTTTGTACAAGTTGACGCAAACGTAAATCTTTTTATGTCTGTTTTATGTTAAACTATAACTTTCGTCCTCCCTTGAAAGTGATATCTGCGGAACGAAAACATTGGCTGTCAGTTTTTTTTTGTATCGTCATTTATTTATTTACTCTTATTATGGGAGCCATAGCAGCTAAAAGTCTTAAAATGGTGAGCATTTAGTATCACTTGCATACGTCTCTTTTTTTTGTTTGCGAGGTGTGTATGTTCTATTAGGTATATCAGTTTTTTGTTGAGAGGCTGACTATAAGAAAATTATAACTATGACAAGAAATTTATAATTATAAATAAGCAAATATGTATACTAAGTCTGTTTGTTTTTTAAAGGGACTTTACAGTATTTTTTTAGATCATCTAGACTTGTACAACTTTGTAGACTCCTCTTTGATGACTGCTTTTTCAGTGCTGTTTATTGTATTGAGAACAAATATTTATTTCTCGACTTCTTTTGGCAAGGTGATGTCATATTTTTATAGCACGCATTTCAGTAAAAAAATAATCTCGTTTAATGGTTAAACGTCTTGGTTGGGTCTAAAAAGCCTTTACGTTTTCTTGGTTCTTTTCATTATTCAGTGGCTCGCACATGGTATAATATAATAATCACCATCATCGACAGCTTTTAATAGTCCACTTTTGGACACAGGTCTCTCCCCAAAAAAGAGGCTTTGACTCACTATACCACGCTGGCCAGACGGGTTGGTATAGAGTTTGTTTCAAGTCTTCCTTCTCTCTTCTCTACTCTTAATCTAAATACACGGTAATTCAAATAGTGTGTATATATGTTGTCGATTTAAAACCCTTATTCAATAATGTTCTTTACTTTGAACAGATCCGAGTTTATCGTACCGACGACGGTATCAAATGTTTGATATGAAAGAACATTTTTTTATGGGAAAATAAAATATTTTGTTTAGCATTTTTTCTCACCGCTTAAATTTTCCTTGGACTTCCACAAATATTTCAAGACTTAAATAAGCCAAATCGGTCCAGCTATTGCCGAATAAGACCGATAATAATACCGAACAGCAGTTCACTTTTATAAAAAAGATTAAAAATATATTTGTAGGCGCTATTAGCAAAATAATTAGTATCTAACTAAAAAATATTATAGATTTAAAAATTTTATTATTTTTGTAGGTATAGCAAAATATAATAATTTTTAATGTTTTTGAAAGATTATTTGTATCTGGAGAATGTAGAGTATTCTATCTACAAAAAAACAGCTTCACATGAACAACCTTCAAAAAATCAATTGTACTTTTTATGTAAACATATACAATACAGAGATCCAGATAAAATGCATATTTTGGACATATCATATCATACTTTAGCAGTAATAGATTTAATTCAAACATTAAATTCCTTCGGACCACTGTAACTTTGAATCATATAAGTATTCTATTCTGAAGTTGCAAGCATATTTAGCAATAAGAACGCCCTTTGTACAATATTCGTTCGAAACATCCGTGTAAATACTTACTTACTTCAATAGTAAGAATGTTGTAGACATAATATTTACGCTGTTATTTGACGCCGTTAACTTTATAGTACAGAGAGCCCAACGAACAGACAGGTCACATGATGGTAAGTGATTACCGCCGCCTATGAACGCCTGTAACTACTGGATATAACAGGATATAAGCTAGTAGGGCTCTAAGCTCTACTTGTTTATATCCTGTTATATCCAGTAAGACTTGTGTCAAGCATACCCATTACATTCGTTTTTTGAAGTAAAAACTTCTTTAGGCGCGTTGGGTATTTTTGAACAACAAAAGAATGTATTTTTTTAAGATGGGAAAAAACCATTGAAATCGCTACACCTTTGTATCAAGTAAGCATCTACATATATTGGCCCCGTTTACACGAGGGTTGAGTTGGGTTGAAATACATTGATAATATAACTATATATAATATAAACATAAATCGTGTATATACGTACAACATAGATTCATGTCAGAACTTTTGAAATCGAAAAAAAAACATTTTTTTCCTGTTACAGTCAAAAAAAATGAAATTTTCAAGTTTTCACTTCTCTCGGCTCCACTGGACTGCCACTGTTTTTTATTTATTTCTCTATGCCTGACTTTCTTCTGAAGTAGGAAAGACTGAAAATGTTACAAAGACAAAGATCATTATTACAAAATTATAACTAAGCAGATGATCAATTCAGTTTAATATGCTAATGAGTGACTCATTTACTTACAATCCATCGTCTATATCCGGCTTACAGACATGATATTAATTTGTATTAGGTATATTTTGTACAACGAACTCTTGTTGTTTGTTCACGATTCCCATGTTACATCTATCTTAATGTTGCGTTGAGTTGAATGACCTAGATAGACACAACTGAAAATATTTAGCAAATTACTAATCTACTACTTCTAATCGGACCATTCAAATGGAAATCTAACTTACTTTAATAATAATCGTTTATTTTTCTCTCTCACACAAAATAGTTACAATTATTCCATCTCAATCTGGTATTATGAGTTTAGTGAGGTGAATCTGTGTGAGAGTCTCGCAGTTGCACTAGGAGGACCTGTATGACAGATTTACCAGCTTAATTTAATGGTTAACGACTAAAACCTGATGATGCGGATTTGGAACCATCGGTCATTGCAATTTTAAAAGTAATAATTTAAGACCTTGTAAATTTTACTAAAACATAAAATTAATGTTAGATATAGAAAAGACCATTCTCTCCTTTTTATTTTATAGCTGATAAATTTCCTAGGTTATTTCAACTTATTTCATTGATGCTTCGCTCCTATTGGTGGTAGTGTGTATTGGTGATATAACCTATAAGCCTTACTTTATCAATGGGCTATCCACCACTAAAAGATTTTTCCAATTCGAAGAAGTTGTTTCTTAGATTAACGAGTTCAACCAAACAATAGTTCAGTAATAGTAAATGATTGGAAAGACAAGAAAGAGAAAAGTTATGCTATGCACGGATACGAGAGCAAAAAACAATTAAATACTAACGCCATAATCGACACTGACCTTCAAGAAAATTAACGTATTTAACTAATCGTTACAAAATTGTCCGCAGTGTTAGCATGGTGGTGGTGCTGAATGGTGTGCTCGCGGACGAGTGCCCGACGTCGGTGCGTGCGCTACTAAACGCGCACCCCGGCTACAGAGATGCGGCCGCACAGCTCCTGGCGTCAGCCGCCCGAGTCGTGCCCTCTCCTGGATTGCTTTATGTTGTGCAGAGGGAGCTAGCCGCTGTGGTACCTCATGACAGTTAGTAGATCTGACATTTTATTCAGCTTTTAATTTAGTTTTTTTTTCGTGAGTAAATTTTCACTATCCAAGTCTTCACCTCGACCACCTTAACAACTTATTGCTTATTCATACCGCAGTATTTACATCAGTTATTTTTTTTTCAGAAAACGTCACCATAATAGGATCTGACGATGCGACATCATGTATCATTGTCGTTGTCAGACACGCAGGTAAATAAATAAATTCCTTTTATATTGCACTAAAGTCTCTGTTGAATGCTATGATTATAAAATATAAAATATCGGTGGAAACGCCAAATTTTTTGCGGTAATAATGTATTCCTAGAGTTAGTGTTTCTAAAATTAAATTTCTAAAATATTTTTCTACATGAATGGACAATAATGATGTATACAGAGACTTATTTACTTCCCTCTGACTAAGAACCAACATTCAGTTTGATGTATCTAAAATAATTATATAAATTTAATTTTAAACCTTAAGTCTACCCTATATTTAAAAAACAATTTAGAATCTGGCAATTCTCACCCTATTGAAAATGGACGAAACTCTACCACGTATTAAATGTAGAGGCTTACTAATAAGTTTGCATTCCTGATAGTAGGCAATATCGGAGTATATGATTAATTAAAATACAATGAACTACTGATGGTTCCAGGTTCGGGGGCAGTTGCCCTGGCACATTTAGATGGATCCGGTACAGCAGAAGCTGCAGCAACAATGGTCACACGCGTTCAGCAGCTGGCAGTGGGTTATCCTGAGGGCAGGCTTGAATTACAGTTGGTCGGCGGCTTCACGGATCCACATCGCTATTCAGATGAGCTGTTTGCTAATATTATGTGTAAGTTTACACCTTGGTATTAGTATCTAAGAGTTACCAAATACCCACTTCGAACTATTTAAACTCAGTTGAAATATATCTTTTAAAAGACTCTGGATCCCAAAAGCATCCATTTTTCAATGTAATCAATATTCAATATTTTGTATTCAATATTTTAGAAACTATTCAACTACTGCTGTCCATAGGCGGTATTCACTTTCTACCAGGAGGATTGCCTGCTCCTTTGTCCCTTTAAAAAAAAAACTAGAGATTACACTTTGGTTCAATTCCTTTTATCAAAATACCGAATCAGAAAAAAGTACCAAATAGAATGTCTGAATATCTGAATATTAAGAAAGTAGCGTAAACGAGCTTTCTACACGAAATGCAATGTGCGGCGTAGTGCTCTTTTCTTCTGGCGGTTAGGACTAAAGGTGTTTTTTCCTCGTAATTAATGCAAATAGTCAGTAATACGAAATGACAATTAGCTATAGTATGTGTAGTAACCCAACGTCTCGGAAATAAACAATTAGAATTGACGCAGAGGTCATACCGGTGTAGTTGTCAGAATGCCAAAGCGCGAATATCAATTTGAGGGTGGGTGGGCGTAACGATCACTGTTGCGTAGATGGAAATAATCATCATTTACTGTTTCGTGTGACTCATCACTGTCTATGATGGCGTTAATTTGTGAATTTTATTGGCGTTAAATTCTAATCTGTATAAATTAATGAAATGTGTTAATATTATATTCTATAGTATCGAATGTTCAAATAAATTGCTTTTGATGATGTGTGGGTGTAAAGTCTCTCATTTTTCTTCTGTTTCGTTACGTAGTTGTTTGTATCTTTCCGTCTAGACTTTTACAATGTGCCAATAAAAGTATTGAGAATTGACTACGTTTCAAACTCGCTACTGATTTAAATATAAATCTTAAGAGTGACTTTGTTTGTATATAAATGTTCTATCGGTAATACAATACATTCAAAAAAAGGTTGTTTATATCGTATGTATTGTATAAATCATTGAAAGCAGTGTGGCAAGTTCCACATGCAAAGAAACAGAAACATACTACAGCGCCATCTAAAGAAGACACATCGAACGGCGGAGTAACTCCTGAATGAGAATTGTTAAACCTATATCGCATTATGAAGAATTCTCTCGCTGATTAGCATATATACCCAGCCAGGCATGATTACCTGGCCTGTTCGGAGGGTCCTCCCTTTGTGTTGGAGGGACATGACACCCGTTCCTTTACAGCAGTTTTAACTTAAGCTGCTATAGTTTTTTGTAGTTACTGCTTACATTTGTTGACTTACTGACTTATACGACTAAATTATGTAGCTGAAGTGCTATAATTCAATTTTGACGACATCAGATAAACACATGAAAATATGTTGATAAAATAATCATCATCATCATATCATCGCAGTCCACTGCTGGACATAGGCCTCTCCCATTGCACGCTACTTAGATCGATAAAATAATCATATTTTAAATCAATGTAGACTAAACAAGAATTTCGTTAACTTTTTAGTATCATTCCACCGGCTGTCAGTTGAGATCGACCTGACGCTGGCTTGTTGCTGCGAGCTGAACACGGCCCTGGGCACGGGCGCGGCCGCCCCGATGGTGACGGGCGTCGGTGTGGACATACGCGCCGGGGACCTCTTCCCTGCTACCTTCCCTGACAAGGGGCCTGAGCTGCCGCTGCGCGGCGCACGTACCATCACCAGCGGTCCGCACTCTGGACAGGTACGTCGTCGGGTACTTCTGCACCGTGTAAATTGAATGGTTTAAACATATACATTTAGTAATCATCATCAACGGCGTTTAATAGTCCACTGCTGGAAATAGACCTCTCTTCAGAAAGGAGGTTTGGGCCTATTATACGACTCTGCCCAGATGGGTTAGATAGGGCTTGTGTCAAGTATTCTTGCTCTTTGCAGTGGTGTTGTCCTGCGTAGTTTGCTCCCTTAATCGGCTCTTACGACACCGACGGGATGAATTGAGGTGGTAACACTCTGTATTCTTAATCCGTTACCACACGGACATCATCATGATGATGATAGTTCATTTTATTTACAAACGAGATGTAGCAGCAACTCTCATACAGTGTCTGGGCTACGAGTATGAATAAGTTTCTTTTTAGTTAGCGTAACCTTTTAGGATGGGCTTTGTTAAATGTATATTGATAGAAGTTTTATTGAATACTTATTGGTGTTAAGGTACTTAAGGTCTAAGGTTTGTACTCGCTCCGGCTATACATATACTAGTGTTAAGGTAAGGGTCCTTTAACTGATGGTCTGGCACTTCGGTCTTGCGATCAAATGGTTGCGGGCTTGTACCACACCCAGTTGGTGTACGTGTATGTTTAACGTAGCTGGAGGGGTAAACAGAAGTACTATTAGAGTGTAAACCATGTTGTGAATATCAAATTCAAATTTATCCAACCATATCACACTAAAAACTTCCTTTAAATTTGTTCACACAGTTACTGAGGACCTATTCTATTAACCGTTACTTTTCAACAGGTTTTAGACATATACGACAACACGGTGGGCATGCTCCGTATTGGACCGTTCAACTACGAGCCGCTACGAGGCGTGGACCTGTGGCTGGAACAATCTGACGAGTTCATACTGCAACATCTCAGTACCACACCCGCTGTCGAACCGCCACACTTTGTTCACAATGTACGTATACCTAAGTTTAAGATTACAATTGTATGGTATTTTCATTCTTTTCCCGATACCACTCCACCGCATCAGATGTTTATTATTAACTACATATTGGAAACCCTTTCATTTAAAACAATAACAGATGCTAGTTTTATAATAGAGAAATATTTTGCATCAAATATCGGACAATCCACTTCCATACTTTTATTATAAATGTGTAAAAATTCTTTCACCAATGTAGAGCATGATTATGAAGTAACATAGGCTACTTTTTACCGCGAAAACCGACATACACGCGGGCGGAGCCGCGGGCAAAAGCTAGCAAGTTTATATTTCAGAGCCATTTTTCTTCTATATAATGAAACAATACGCCCGAAAAATTTGTAACAAGCCTTATTTCCGACACGTCTTGCTATAGTTACAGCCGTGTATAAACTATATACATCGCTGCAAACAGCTCTCCCATCTCTAATCTTTTTTTTCCAATTTAGGCCTATTAACTTGATATGTTATAATAAAAATTATAATGACTATAGCAAAAGTCTACCAAAAAGCAAATAGACTTCGTGCCAACCGGGGGTCCATAGAGCCCTCACGCCGTTTTTATATTGCCATATAAAACCAATCGTAATATTGCTCCACAGATCCGAGTGACCCTCAAATTCATTCAGCAGCATCCGTTCCCTGCGGTGACGGTGTTCCCGGACAACCGCGCACATTACTACCGCCGCGACGAACAAACCGGCTGCTGGGTCGCCATGCGCTTCTAGCCACAACCCACTTGACACGTGTTACATTCATGCATGTGTAACAGAGTGGTACTGCATAGTGCGGTGTAAACTCGAAGGTTTATCCCTAGATTTGTTATTAATTTTCAGTGTCGACATTAATGAAACTAGAACGTGCGACACTGAATAACATTCTCATCATGAAGTCATAATTCTTTTTTAAAATAATTTCATATGAATATTCAGTTGTTAAAGGTTAAAAATCTAATATAGACACTGAAGATTTGAAGATTTTTGAATCAGTTGGATTCTATAACAAGATGTTATTGGTATTTTGCGTCATTCAAGTTTAGTTTGTCAATTTATTTTAACAAAAACCTACTTATACGCTTTTAAAGTCTGTATAAGATGTCAACTCAGCATAAAAGTACAATATCAATTATAGCAAAATAAGTAAAACAAAATATTACATGAATGATGATTTATTGACCATAGGAATATTATGAATCTTGCATGCATTGCGTTGTTACTTTATAATTTTAAGACTCCATTACGGACTTGCGACGTTCATTGTTATTTGGAGGAGTTTTTGGACTTCTTATAGTTTTTTACTTATATTATTTATGTTCTAATTTCTCAAATACTGACATTAATTTATTTTCGAATGTGACATACTGTGTCTAATAAAATTAGAAATACTTAATAACAAATCTATGGACTTACTCATTTTGACATAATAATATGATCAGAATATATATTGAAATTTGAAAAGAAGTTAGTTTTATGTGTTGAAATCCTTCTTGTATAGTGTTACTAAAGAAAACCAGTAAATTAGAAGCCAAATAAAAGGACACTAAAAATTGAAAAAAAAACATCGATGCAGTAATTTGTCTTGTCCGTGTCGTTTATAAACTTTCTAATGTCGATATACGTACAGCGTGACTATTCTATCGTTATGTATGGTATCGAATTTAAGTTTTATCACTTAAATACTTGCAGTCGTTCAGAAACATACCAAAATAAAAATTGAAATTATCGTAAAAAAATGTAGTCATCTTTCGTCAAATCCGTCTGCACGTATACATAAAAATGTTTATCATGTATTTATATTACTATATAAATAATATGAAGTGTACGATATTTACAGGGTTGTAATACTTCTACCACATTAAATTAAATTAAATTATCATTGTAGTTTAGACATTCAAACTTTTATGTCAAACTTCGCTTCTTCATAGGGCGATTATATTATGTAGACCAGTGCGATGTAAAATTATTTATTATACAATACAGCTCTGATTTTCGTTGAGCTTTATTATATCATAATTTAGGGCATATTATCACTTAAAATGATTTAACAACTTCAACTCACAAAAAAAGCTATGTCTCTTTAATATTTCTTATCTGTCTTAAACAATTTAAAAAAATTGATTTTGTGATAATGAATGCTGTCGTGTTTTTTTTAACTTGTATTTATGAACAAAAGTAAGGTTTAGCGGTTTCTTGTAACGGCGTTGACAGCTGAAGAACAAAGCTTCTTATAGTTGGCGCCAATTTTTATTGTAGATTGTCAAGTCTTGTTTTATTCTAGTGTTCATCCCTATTTCTTGCTTTTGTACATAAATATCAAAATAATGTTAATAACTTATAAATATAAAATGATTTTGTATATTTTGTCATTTGTGTTTACATAAAATTTCAGTTTTATGACGTTACTTTTAGGCTCTTATTCTGTACGCCATAGACATGAGGCTATTACTAACATGCTCGAATCCGCTGACATTTGTCAAATTTGATAGAGCTATAAAAAAAAAATTGATGTCATAAGTGAACATTTTATAAGTCTTGACGCATGACAATTTATACTAATGACAAAAGTTCACGAGTTCTGGCGTGTTGCTCTTGTCGTGGCGATACTGTAACTCTTACCTGATAATTATTGTAAATTGTCAGAGCAAACAAGTTATGTTGTAAATATTATAGTGATCAATTAGATGTAGTTAGATGACGTTAATAGTTATTGTTTTGTGAAATATTATGAATATATTGAAAGTTCAAAAGAACCTTGTGTGTTTATTTTCATGCCCTTGTATGTGTAAATGTGATTAATAACAATAAATAAAATTGAAGTGTCTGTTTGTAATGTCAAAATAATAGGTTTTTTTCATGGGCACATGGTTATTTGCACGATACCTATGCCTAAAAACATTTTTTTTTTGTTTGTCTGTCTATTTGTGCCGGGAAATCTTCAAAACGGCTGGACTGATTTTAATAATATTTTACTAACAGGTACCTGTCTATATAAGGAGTAACTTGGGTTTTTTTTCTCAGAAAAACTCTATAAAATTTTGCCCGGTCCGGGAATCGAACCCACTACGGCAGCGCTAGTCATACATATAATTGTATGAATTTGCCTTCAACCGTATTATTACGATACTTGGACTATCCTAGTATTTGCCTAGTTAACCTGTTTATAATGCACCATTGGTAATAAAAAGAACCGGCAAGAGTGTGATAATTCAGAAAAACAGCAGCTTGTCTCTCTTAATATGACATTTTACAGTGAAAAGTTTAGTCTGCCTAAGAGTTTTCATTTAGCCTAAATTTCTGACTTTTGGCACAGGGAGGTAGATGACCTCTAAAAATTTACCAGAACCAGGAAACTGTTGGGTGTGCTGTCTCTGTATTCGTTTGAAGGTAGTCAGCACAATCTTACAAACACTTGATCTCACAAGCCTCGCCAACGGATAGAAGCTGTGGATTACTTGAAGTAAATTTTTGTAAATATTACGTTGATCTAACTAAAACAAATTTTAAACTAAGTGCGTACCTGTATCCAAAAGGTCTCTCGTCGTCATTACCCGGCCAACGAGTCAGTCGATGACCGCGTCCTTGTTGTCATTTTTCTAGCCAGGAAGACGGTTGCATAATACCTAAGTAAATTTAGTTCTGCCAGGAACTGTTAGTAGCTCCAATCACACTTCTCATGGTCAAAATGTTGTGATAACTGAGAGTTTGGTTTGTTGGTTCGCTGTCATTGTATTCTCTTTGATTCGTATGTAGATAGTTATAGTATTAAAATACATATAGGTGCTATGCTATAGTAGTATTATCTAAAAATTTGATACTATCTCTGTCTAAATCCGAAGAATTAATACGACACCCATGGTGATCTTAAGTCATGAAAACTAGAACGAAAATGACCAATATTTATGTATTGAATACTGTATTAGAATTCGCGGTAAGAACTAAATTCAGGAACCGCCCGAATCATCACGAGGCGTGGTGCCAACAGTAGAATCATCACGAGGCGTGGTGCCAACAGTAGAATCATCACGAGGCGTGGTGCCAACAGTAGAATCATCACGAGGCGTGGTGCCCAAACATACAACAGTAAATGTAGGTGTGTAATATTTCTAAGAACTTTGAGACATTTTAATGTGTATGTCATTTAAATTTTCAGGTTAGGGACTAAATTTTAACGAGTATGATGTTATTTATTAAAGTACAGGTAAGGTAACTACAAGACTCGTATCTTAAAGATGAAAGCGTAACGATGCGATGTATTTATTTGTGTCAGAACCAGAGCTTTACCAGGAACACATAAACTTGTTAGACAGTAACAGTCTAATAACGAAAGTCTAATAACGAAAGTCTTATGACAGAACGTCGTATGTCGCTAGCTAGCTGGTTCTAAATTAAAAGACCAATTTTATTCCCAAACTTTATTGCAAAACCTAAGTATACAAATTTAATAACTACACATTTATTATATATAAGATCACGCTTTCAAACGTATACATAATTACATAACGTTTTACTTATAACAATATTACAGTGAAAGGTGTTTCATGTCACATTCGTTCAGTACAATCTATTCAGTGCTCTTATTATTATTTAAGATGTTTATTAACTTAACAACATATTATACAGTAGTCATACAAGGTTATAGTTTTGCTCTTTCTAACCACAACTTAGTGGCAGTATTGTGGGTTTATAAGGCGCTCAGGGCAAGTCCAAAGAGTTGCAAATAAAGAGCAAAATTAGTGATAATTTAATTTTAAGTTTTTAATTACTAATAAATCTGGACCGTAATACAATTAAAATTTAGAACATTCAGATAAAATTAAAATCAATTTTTTTTATTACAGAATATGTTTAATATCTCCAATAGTACATAGGGTCTTTATTGAGTTTTTGATATTTTTTTGATTATAAAAGACCCAAAATCCCATATTATATTACTTTTATATGTACAAGACAAAAGATTAAAAAATACAATACATAATAATATAGATTTCTTATTTTAAATCGTTTACAGAATTGCCACAAGAATATATTTAACTTTTGAAGTCATATCGTCATCGTTGACACTCAACACTGGATATTATAAAATCTATATTAAAAATGAAAGAATGATATATATTAAAAAAATATTTATGTAACCTGATAACATATTTGCGATCGATATTATTGTGTATTGGAATAGTTAAGAGCAAATAAAACGTTTATACGTATGATTTAAGTTATAGAACTAATATAATTCGAAATGTTCTTAATTCTAATATATTATAGGTACTGGACGTATATATTTTATTTCATTAAAAAAGGTAATATGGCATACTTCGTAAATTTGGTAATAGTTACATAAGAAAATTTTATGGCAATTATTTCAGAAATACATTTTTAATGGTTGGCTCATATACAAAAATAGAAATCAATAAAATAAAATTTAAAGTTTCATTTAAACACTTGTTATTCAAAACTGAAATATGTATAACTACAAGTTATATAATAAACCTAATTCTACTTACATTATATGCTAATAGTAAATAAATGAAATTATACATCATTTTGCTTCAAAGAAAAAGGTTACACATTGCTTAAGAAAACAAAACAAGAGATAGTGTCACATAGACATCAGTTAAGTCAAATCAGTTATATCAGTGAAGATAGCTGCTCTCTATGGATTAACTTTTTACAACATCAAAAATATGTTCCATGACCAATATTGTATTTTTTTTATTTTTTTCTATATTACTAACTCAGTAGTGAGTATTAACTGAGCCCAATCATAAAATAATCAAAATATACTTTTCCTCCATCAGAAGTAGTATATTGGGAACAACATACACACTTAGGTATAGCTATTGTGTTATTTTTAAGGCAACGATTTGCAGTTCTCACCATATGTGATTGTCTAATGTCAACAAGCAGGACATAACTAAACATCAAAACAAAAATCCAGTACTACCAAACGGTGCGAGATGAGTTATTTATACATTTTGTGGCACTCTTAGCATATCCAACATTACACAGTACACAGAAAACAAAAATTTTGACATAATTAGAATTTGTCTTTGTGCTCTTAGTTATCCTTGTCTATTGTTTTTTATAATAATAGTAATAATAATAGAGTAATAATAAATTGATTGTAATCACTTTTTAGAAATATTTAATACAAAACTTGAGTTCCTTTTCAGTAGGTATCACTAAAAGGTAGTATCAAAATTAATTAGTGTACACAAAATTAATCAGTGTTCAGAAATATCTCCTCATTGTAATGTAAATTTTTGAGAATCATAGGAAAGGTAAAAGCATGTTTGTTTCCAAATTTTCTGACATATACAAAGTTTAGTCTTTTTTTGATTTTGCCACTAAATCTGAAGCAACACATGTTTTTATGTTGAAAAATGTGTTGTCATCATTTGGAAGAAGAACCATATATTATATAAATACTTTACCAAACTGTTTCTCTCTTTCAAAACAGTGGAGTACTAGCCCTCAAGTTTCTCAAAATACCAGAGTTTTTTTACTTTTATAAACAGTCTTGTGAAGCCTCAAAAATATTAAATTATATATTATTTGTGGAAGCCAACTGCAGATAAGTAAAACACAATGAAAAACATGATTGATAAATTGGTGTCAAGTTTTAGTATATATAATATGCCATTTATCAATGTATTAAATTACCACAAACATATAAAACTTAAAAAGATGTTAAATGAAAACTATTCATTTGCAGTTTATGTTACTTCACACTATTTATCATATTTTTAAATGCAATTATAATGACTGATTTTTTGAGCAATCTGCTTACATTTGCTCTAGATATTGCAAAACAGAAATAACCTCATTACACTATGTTACCAAGTCTTTGTTAACTATGAATATGTTATATCAAAAAAACTTTAGGTATATTATTATAATAATATTATTATATATATAGGTTTCATAGAATTGCTTAACCAAACGCAATTTGCCACTGAGAATAACAATTGTGAGAACATTAATAGTTGCAATTATTTCTATAATTTGTATTCTTTAATGTAACATACCTGTTCTTACATATCTGTGCAAGAATATAATATTATAAGGTTATGTTTAACTTCAATATGAAAATAAAATATTCAACATCATGGTCTATATTAACATATAGTACCTATTAATTCTGAGTCTTATGATTATTGCCAAAGCGATCATTGATTGATTATAATAATAATATTTTTGGACATCTTACACACAACACCATCTAGTTTCAAACTAAGCAGAGCTTGTACTATGAAAGCTAGATTTACTGTTAGAATCCTTTTATACTTTTTTTTGTAAACACATAAATATTTTACATAGAAAACATCCAAACTCCAAAACAAACATTTGCAGATCATACAAACATTTGGTTCGACCAGGGAATCAACCCGAGACCTCAGCACAGTAGTTGCAAATGCTACCACTGCACCACAGAGGCAGTCATTTATCTTATCGATATTAATATAATCAATCAGAAGTGTGATTTTTAAGAATGCTTGTACTGTATCTTAATATAAACAATGAAGGTGATAACAGTAACCATTATTCACTCATAAACCTTTTAATATTTAACTTTTGTTAATAAAATATTTACCAAGGCTTGTCAATCAATATTTATCCGAAAAGAGCCCCACAGTTTGAACACCTCCTATTTTTAAGTGCAAGACAACATAGAATCCCTAATGGGAAGAATAATATTGCACATAAAATACCGAGGCAGGTGAAATCGTCTTCGAGGATGCCAACGCGACAGGCAGGGCACGCTCCAACTGCGATAATAGGTGGAGGTATAATTATGTTTGTTGCGCCATAATTAGGTACGAAACCAGCACCTGGCGGAGCAACTCCGTATGGCGTGTATCCAGGTGGTGGCGGCGGGTAAGGCGCTCCTGGAGCGCCAGCAGGTTGTGGGGATGGCCCTGAAATCATTCATACACGCCATTAAATGACAAGCAAACTTTTATGCAATGTTATGACATTATCAACAAACTTTCTTAATATATGTGTGTGAAGAAAGGAGAGAGTGTAAAGAGGTTCAATATGACAAATATTAAACATAAAACCCGTTTAACAAAAAGATTGCGCAGTTCGATCGAAAACCTTATCATTATTATGATTCATTCCTATTCACTAAGGTTTCTATCAACAAACCAATTACACTCACCCGGTGGAACTGTCGCTGTATATGGAGGTGGTAGTTCAGTAACAGTTGGTTTCTCCATTTTAAATTCCTTGAAACGCTTCAGGGTAGGTTTTATACCTTGATCACTAAAGAATAATTTACGCAAAAATAAAAATAAATTTTATGATCGCAATCACAAACGTAAAACCAGCTGTCAGATTTAATCACTTAATGTTGCCAATTGCCAGATATACGAGTATAATCTACCTAGGTAGGTTATTTTTTTTCCTTTTGACTAGGCTTATCAAATGACACGGTTAGAAAATGAAATATCTACTATTCATTATTTATGAATCCCAAGTTACACAGATAACTTAATTAATTAGATATATTGTTTTTTTTTTCACTTCTATTATTCGACAACTAATTGGGGTTTTTAATAACATTACTAACATTATTAACATTTTCTTCGATTAAACGAAGAAAAATTTTCGTCAATGTCTCACCAAGTAAGGTCCAAACTTGACGATTTATCACAGAAAATATTCTTAGATATTTTCTTACTCCAAGATGATGTACATTCGTCACACTAACTTTCATAATTTGTTGCACATTTTTCTTTTATTTATTTTCGTTCATTATTTTATTTATATTGTTATTTTATTTTTACACATCAAACACATTTGATGCACAATGTTTAAGGCATTCTTTACCAGTCAACCATTGGGTTTGGAATATGCAAACTAAATGTTTTATTAATTACACATATATAAACCTCTAGATAAATACTCTAGAACCTAAACATATTATTCATAAGTACGTACATTAGGTACTACCAATAAATTTAGATAAATACATACCAATGATAATATTTGATGAAAATAACATGGAAGGTGATTCTGCCAGTTGATTTACAAAATATTGCTTTACTTTTGTTTTCCATAAAAAGTGTTGGTGGCCGTCCTGACCAAGGGCCAACGAGGAAGGAGGTTATTAGACGACCGAAGGTTTCTGTCGTAATTGCCGCATAAAAGTTGGAGGTATTTTACCTTATCATTTGTCTTGTCTTAAGGAGGCCCTGCATAGTCACCATCTGCATTAAAATCATCTAAATTGCTTGATTGAGAACTTTTATGTAACACAACACCACCTTCAAAAGAATTAGTTTTCACTTTATCTACAAACGGTAAATGGAAGTAGGCTATTATCACAAGTAAATAAATAAAGCTTTGCATTATGCAATAACATCAAAATTGATTTGTCTTAATAGACATTAAATGGCATGTTTTAAGGAGGATAAATCCCTTTGTCAAAAATAAACTACATAAATATAATAGATGTCCAGCAGTAGACTGTTAAAGGCTGTTAATGAATGATGATGATGAAATCTTTTAAAATAATGGGTCATTTGGATGGGACATTTTGACCGTCACAAAGCTGCCAATTCTCGCATACTACAACGTATTAAAATAACACGTCGTTCCAACAGATGGCAGTACTGGTCTTTCACGTCGAAGGTATGTTTTGAATTGCTACCATCTGCCCATTGAACGTTAAACAGTAAACTAAACCTTTATTTTGCTTAGCTTTTTTAAACATTCGGCTGTTTACATATTTCATAATACACTATTCTGAAACCACATGTATCGGAGAATATTAAGATGGCTACTTAAAAATTAAATGTATTAGAGTCATAAAAGTCTCAGTTTTTGTAGCTCACTTTATGGAGTGTCCCTTGTTGAGTTTAAATCCTCCTTAATATGTACAACGAGGTCATAAGCGGCTGTTATCATGTATTCACTTATGTAGCACTCGTCGTATTTTCAGCACGCTTTTGTATTTTTTAATGAAGGTTTGCCTCACGCTCTTCACTTAGTTAAACATTCACAACTTACCTACCAGACAACTTTAATAGAATAGGCTTTCATATTTTTGTTAGGGATGTTTATTAATAAGACAGCGGTTTGGTTCTTTCACCGCCGTTAACAGAGTCATAGTACATTTCAATTCTTGTCTTTTCTCCAGCCTCTTCTAATAGATATCTACTTACCTCTACCGGCATCCAAGATATTTTTTGGACTCTAGAAAACTCTTTTGAAGATGCTTTCGTATTGTAGTAGGGTAGACATACAGTTTTAGGGAATCGAAAGCGAATTTAATATTATTTTAAACATTTGAACAGATCCACGTCTTTTTCGAATAAGTACATTTTTCTGGTAAATACCTATTCACGCTACGCTTTACTTGAGCATGCATTTAGTTTGGCCATAAATAAACTTTTTTTTTGAACCATTGAATTGAATTTGGCATATTTTGGCATTCTTGTATAAATACTCATTGCGTTTTCTTATTTTCACGCCGATCGGTGATAAATATTCTTGTGGTATTAAAATGGAGTGGGGTGATAAAGACATCCGAATGAGTCTAATAACGTTGTTATATTTTGAAAACTTACAAAAATCCATTGTCTAGCTAGACTGTAACGATCCCCCAGTTTGTGCTAACTAGAACCGTTCAATTTAAAAGGACGATCGATTTAAACTACCAATGCCCTTTTCCATTCCATTCTAAATGCAAAAATCCATTTCAGCACTTTTGTTGTTACCATATTGACTGAAAGTAAATTAACTGTCCGCATAGACTGACACCGTAGATTTCCTTTACCACGTTTGAATATTGAAATACCTATTCATAAATTCAAATAAGTTTTAAGATGAAATATATAAAATCTTGACTCTGCTACTATTGATATTCATACGTAAAGTAAACGTATTTCGCTAATATTTATCATCATCATCATCATCAGCCTATTGCCGTCCACTGCTGAACGAAAGATATTTTTTTAACGTGTGGAAAGCCCCTTGGGCCGTCACCCTACCGGGGTTTACGGCGGAGTGGTGTGTCGACATCGGACCGACTCAAACCACACGGTGTGCCACTCTGCGCCTGTCATAGGAGTGAACCGGGAACAGCTTTTATTAAGACATCCGGACCCCTCCCGGCTCCCGCAAAGCGCGGGCACCAACTTCGGGTAAATTCTCTATTCTTCTCTCTTCTCCTCGCGGCTGGCCACTATAGCGGATGGAGGGGAAAACCCGTCCCCGCACACTCAGGGCGGTATGAGGCGCTGGTAAGAGCGCCTCCGGTGCGTCGGCGACGAATTGGATCGAGTGGAGGTTGCCCTCCCGGACCTTCTCCGCCACCTCCTTCTGGGTGAACGAAGGCCTCCCTCAAGGAGCGCCAACCACCATGGTCTTGGGCGACCCGCATCCATCCGCCGCCAGCAATTTTCTTCAAGTCGTCGGTCCATATTCATTGTTAATAATAACGCAAACTAACATTTTATGCACTCGTCATTTCTAAAAAAAACGTTGTACAATTTGTCCCTTTGCTATTAGTTTTAAACGTAAGCTGTTACCAATTGTGTTTATTTTAAGTAAGCTTACTTCTAAAGAACTTTCTAATACTTTGTGAACACTGGAATCATGGTTGCAACAATCAAGTTCTTAAATCATAGTAAAAAGGAATCTTGAATGCAACAAGATTTGAATGGGCAACCTACTAACTGCTTTCGCATTCGGCTCTGTTTTCAACTATTTTAATTTAACACGTTCCCAAATATGACTGAGGATGTTAGCCAGTCGGAATTGTTGGACGTAATTTCCATTTAGTTAATTTGTACATGGGTTCGTTTAGTTCCGCCAAGATTATTAATAATTTCGAGAGTAGTGTTTGTTTTGTACTGACGGTTCATAATTCAGAAACAGTGACCTTCTAGCTGAGATATTAATGCATGAAAATGAACTTGTTTTCTTAAGCTCTAGTTTCTCAAAGCAAATGCAGTCTTATGTAGCAGGAAGAGGTAATTATGCGAACACATTTTAATACCAATCTGCAGATGTAGGTTCTGTAATGCTAGTTTTTTGTTTTACTTAACACAGCATGCAGTGTATTCTTATTGGTTTCTTATTAGTTATATAAGAATAATTTTAATGTTTCCTTGAGGATGTAAGTAACATACGTATGTACGTACTGTGATTAATTGCAGACTGCAATTAATCAACGTACGTACACGTGCAGATTGATTTGGTCTGGGTGTTTCTATGTATAATAAGTATGTATTTACAAAAAAAGTATATAAAAAAGTATCAGTTGTCTAGTAGCCATAGTACAAGTTCTGCTTACTTTGGGACTAGATAGCGTTGTGTGAATGTGGTAGAATATTATTATTATTTTAATAGAATTGGCTTGAGTATGCTTTAGATGTCGGGAATATAAGATTTAAAACCTGTATACATCTATGTAACTAAGTACAAGTATACATATATGTATTTCACTATGTTTGTAGGGTCGTATATCTGTCCCACTGTTTCTGTCCATCTCCTCAATTATTATTATATCCCTAAAATAAAATAACTTAATTTCTAGGCACCAACTCCGACATTTTTCCACCGCCAAAGGTAGACTGGAAGATAATGCCTGTGGTATTAAATCCGCCATTGTACAATTATTGTAATTTGTGCGTAAAGAATTAAATTTCAAAAAACCCTTTATCATGGTCAAGAAGAGATAAGGCTTTGAGTTCTATCTCTTGAGTTCTAACCGTCCACAACAGTTATTAGTCATTGTTTGACGGCAGTATTATATTTTAGAATGGAAATTGGAAATTTTGAATGATATTCGGATCCGAAACTAGTCGGGCGTACCTAAAATACATGGGTGGAAAACTGCATATGCATCTTCAAAAAGTACTGTGTACGTGTGTTACTAGACATGAGTGGTTTATTCGCTATTATTCGAGGTGAAATTGATAGTATCGATCTTCTCTCTAACATTAAATTAGAAAAAATTAATAAATTCACATCACACACATCAACAGCCTGTAACAGTCCACTGCTGGACATGGGTCTCTCCTTAGAAAGGAGGTTTTGGCCTACTATTAAATTAAAATTAAATTAAATCTGTGAATTGCAAAAGAGTGGCCATGAGTTTGTTTGCCCTTTCTTTGGGGGGATTTGAGCTCCGGTAACCTCACTCACTCAGTGAAAGGCAACGAAAGAATTGCTTAACACCATGGGTTTGATTTTTGTTAAATTTATT